TGGCTTGGCAGGTCTGGCCTCAACGTTCGGCCACATAGGCGCTTCCACAAAGGCAGGGGGCGGCGGTGATTCGCCGTAGGCGTCTTCGATATATATATATATATATATATATTATAATATATATATATATATAATAGACACATGTTTTTACACACACACATACAAAATATCGACGGCTTGGTAATAATCCACCCTAACGGGTTTTGAAAGTTTACAATCGCTGGCCCCCCCTCAGAAAGCCTGAACGGATGCAAGACAAACAAGACCTTACATGCAAGGCAGACAAGTTACCCCCCTCAGGCAGCCTGAACTGATGTTGCGCAGATGCCTTGTCGTGCTCGAGATTCTCCTTTTGAGGATTCAGCGACACGTAGCATTCCTTCTCCTTTATTTGCCTCACAACCTCCCGCTCAGCGGAAGTGTGAAAAACATGGCCTGTGCGCCGCAGTTGCAGCATGAGATGCTCTGTAACATCTCTGCCTGCAACATCCGAACGCATCACTGCATGTGGTAGTGCAAAGCCTTCGTAAACAGGAACAGCATGGGTAACGCCATCACCTGAGGCAAAGGGGACTCTCGAGGACAGACACAAACGTCTGGATATGGAAAAAACGAAGACATAACCTGTTTGACAACAACAAGCATGTGACAGCAAGCATGTGCCCCATGGGCATACGTTGAAAATGAAGCTTCACACGGGACGTGCCAAGGAAACTGTATTCACGACGCTCCCAGCATGTGTCGATACATCTGGGGAACAGGCGAAGACCTCGCTCCACAAACTCCGCATGTCGACCCACTTCTGACTCGGCACCGCACTATGACTCGCAAAGTAGGCGAGGGATCTGCAGCATCGGCCTACATTGTGCAGTACTCTGATCCTCTCGATCACAGATCCAGACCTCATGCTGTCCAACTTGCGCAAGATCCGAAGCCACGCTTTGCTGCAGAGGCGCATGCCCCCTCAGGGAAGAGATCGGAGCGCAAATGGATCCGATGCTCGCGTCGTATGATGGATCTTTCCGATCGCGCACAGATCACGACTGCTACAAAAACTAGGTCAATCTTCTCGGCGGAGGTGAACTCGCGGTAGGTCGGGCACGTACCCCCTACAGGCGGATTTGGGATGAAAGAAAAACAAAAACACAAAATGTTGTTTTATAATACTCTAGGGAAAACACAACAACAACAACAACAACAACACAAACAAACAAACAGCAACAACAAAAACAAACAACATAAGAAGAAGAAGAAGAAGAGAAACAAAAGCTTGAAAAAGTGTGACCCCCCCCCCCCCCCCCCCCCCCCCAAAAAAAAAACGTCTCATGGCTATTGTTTGGCTATGTTTGAACATTCCCCCTGTAGAGGGACACGCCCGACTTAGATCTAGCTCGCTTCCTCTTCCGACTCCCTTCGTCCCACCCATTCGGGGAAGGGCTCACCCCTACCCCCCGGGTCTGGACAGGGCGCCCCCGCGGACGATTCGAGCGCCCAAGGAGGTCCACGATGGCCTCAGAGACAGCTCACGATGGCGCAAGAAAGCTCAAGTTGGCTTCCAAGATGCTCCAGGAGGCCCCGAGACCGCTGCAAGACGGGTCCAAGTGGCCGAGGACCCTCCCAAGGAAACCCCCCAGAGTTCAAGGTCATTACAAAGCCCAGGGAGAACCATGTCGTGTGCCTTCCCGTCTACTAGCTATCGATGGGCTGTTGGGGCATCGAGGTAACTCCAAGAGAGCCCAAGAGGGCTCCGAGAGAGGCCCCGCATGGCCCCCAAGACGGCCCCAAGAGCGCACAAGAGCGCCCCAAGAGAGCCAAAAGAGGGCCGCAAAAGGCGATGACTGAGGCTCACACTGGGCAAGCAGAACCCCCACTTCGCTGAAAGCAAAGCCCAAATATTGAGAAGCAAGTGGCCTCTCGGGTGCATCCTTGAAAGGATTTTGAGCCAACATGGATCCAAGATAGCTTCGGAAAGCCCAAGTTGGCCTCCAATATTGATCGAGATACCACAAGATGGCTCAAAATGGTCACCGCCACGCCTCCAAGAGGCCCCAAGGCCACTCCAAGACAGCTCCAAGCGGCCACTGAGTTCCCAGTGGAGACCCCCAAATGCCGAAGTCCTTCAAAACCTGAGGAACCAACAATGATACTTGCCTTCTCGCCTTTCAGCCTCTGGTGGGCGTGTATGGCCTCGAGAATTACCCTGTGACGAACCCAACCCTTTCTACACATGTGGCGATTATACCCAAGACCACTCAATGCTGACTGGCATTCTGAAGGACCAACGCTGCGCAAGAAGGGCACCCAGCGGTGATTCAGAAGAGCGCAGCAAGAAGAGTTGCGCAGATCGCAAGCCCCCCAGGGGGCGGCGAGGTCCCGAGGTGGTCCGCGTGGGACCCACCTCCGCCGGGCCTCCCAGAAGCCCACGAAAGTGGCGACAATTGCGCAGATCGCAAGCCCCCCAAGGGGCGGCGAGGTCCCGAGGTGGTCCGCGTATGACGTACCTCCGCTGGGCCTCCCAGGAGCCCACGAAAGTGGCGACAATTGCGCAGATCGCAAGCCCCCCAGGGGGCGGTGAGGTTCCGAGGTGGTCCGCGTATGACGTACCTCCGCTGGGCCTCCCAGGAGCCCACGGAAGAGGCGACAGTTGCGCAGATCGCCCAGGAGCCCACGAAAGTGTGGCGAGGTCCCGAGGTGATCCGCGTGGGTCCCCCGCTGAGCCTCCAAGGAGCCCACAAGAGTGGCGGCAGTTGCACAGATCGCAAGCCCCCCAGGGGGCGGTGAGGTCCCGAGGTGATCTGCGGGGTACCCACCTCCACTGGGCCTCCCAGGAGCCCACGAAAGTGGCGACAGTTGCGCAGATCGCAAGCCCCCCAGGGGGCGGCGAGGTCCCGAGGTGGTCCGCGTGGGACCCACCTCCGCTGGACCTCCCAGGAGCCCACGAAAGTGACGACAATTGCGCAGATCGCAAGCCCCCCAGCGGGCGGCAAGGTCCCGAGGTGATCCGCGTGGGACCCACCTCCGCTGGGCCTCCCAGGAGCCCACGAAAGTGGCGACAGTTGCGCAGATCGCAAGCCCCCCAGGGGGCGGTGAGGTCCCGAGGTGATCCGCGCGGGACCCCACCTCCGCTGGGCCTCCCAAGAGCCCACGAAAGTGGCGACAATTGCGCAGATCGCAAGCCCCCCAGGGGGCGGTGAGGTCCCGAGGTGATCCACGCGACCCACCTCCGCTGGACCTCCCAGGAGCCCACGGAAGTGGCGACAATTGCGCAGATCGCAAGCCCCCCAGGGGGCGGTGAGGTCCCGAGGTGATCCGCGTATGACGTACCTCCGCTGGGCCTCCCAGGAGCCCACGACAGTGGCGACAGCTGCGCAGATCGCAGACGGCACGAGAGAATAGGAGAGAGGAACACAGGAAACAGGAGAGAAGGAGGAGGGGAGGAGAGGGGAGGAGGAGAGGAGGTGGAGACCACACTGCTTTATTCAAAACGAGAACCCAACACAGGAGGGTTTTGAATATTTCAAGATGACTTAAGAGGGCCACAAGAGGCCCAAGATGGCCCCCAAAGACAGCCCCAAGAGCGCCCCAAGAGGGCCCCAAGAGGCGACTTGTGGTCCAGAGTGGCAACGGAGTGTGAAGACCCCCCCTTACCAAGAGGCCCTCCAGGGCTCCCAAGAAGACCTCATAGACGCCCCCGAGAGAGCTCCGAAGCTCCCAGCATGGCCCCACGACGGCTCACATGGCTCTAAGAGGCCTACAACCAGAGCGAAGGTCCGCAAATACATTTACATTTGAATCGTCGTCGTCATTATCGTCACCATGGCCTTTTCCCCCATCATTATGATCCTCCTCCTCCTCCTCCTCATCCTCTTCCTCCACCCACCTCGTCCTCCTCGTCCTCCTCGTCCTCATCCAAACCAGTGTTATTTGGACATTTAGCTTGAACGTGTTCAATCAGGCTCCTTCTGCTCTCATTTTTCCTCCTCCTCCTCCTCCTCCTCCTCCTCCTGCTCCTCCCACTCTTTCATCATCCTTCCTCCTCCTAGTCCTCCTCCTCCTCTTCCTCCTCCTCCTCCTCCTCCGGCTCATCCTCCTCCTTCTTCTCAACATCATCCTCCTCATCCTCTGATTATTCCTCTCACCCTCCTCCTCCTCCTCCTGACTCCTCCTTCTCCTCCTCCTCCTTCTCATCGTCATCATCAACATCAACAGCAACAACAACAGCCGTAACAACAACCACAGCAACAACAGCATCAGCACCAGCAATAAACAGCAACAATGACGGCAACACTAACAACAACCACAAAGACAACAACACCCAACAACAACAACAACAACAACAACAACAACAACAATAACAACAACAACAACAACAACAACAACAACAACAACAACCCAACCACAACAATAGCAGCAACAACAACAACAGCAGCAACAACAACAACCACAACAACAACAGCAACAACAATAACGGCAATAACAACAACAACAACAACAACAACAACAACAACAACAACAACAACAACAACCGCAACCGCAACCGCAACCGCAACCGCAACCGCAACCGCAACTACAACAACACCCAACAACAACCACAACAACAACAACCATCAGCATCAACAACAACGACAACAACAACGACACTCATTTAAGACTGGGGACACTCCGTTCTCACCAGTGCCAGGGTTTTCATAGGAGGCGGGCAATACCCCCACTTTGTGGGGGGGCCGGTTCAAGCTCTACCAAATTTCCAAACGACTCTTCGCCACCACCCACACCCAGCTTCCCGCCCTATGACGTTCGGACACTTCACTTCGTGGCATGCGGACGACCGTGGCTACTATTCAGGGCCCCGCGGCCGACGACGACGGCGTGCGCGCGCGAAGAAAAAACGAATGTGTCCCGCATGGTATTATTTGACAGGGATGATGGCCCTGGCAGGTGCGCAACCGTTGTCGCAGAAGTTCGAAAAAGTTGCTCGCAAAAGCCCGTTTGACAGAAATGTTTAAAAAGTGTTGGTTTTCCTACGAATCCGCAAGAGCGCGCGGGATGAGATTTTGACATTTTTTTGTTGAAAAACCATTGGTTTTTTGATGTTTTTATGTTAAAATCGCTCCGAACACTAAGCTTTTGGAAGGATTTCGTCTTGCGCGCGCGAATGTCCACTTTACCTTATTTTTTGCAAGGGATTCTTGAAATTTGATTATATTAGAACAAGAAATGTCATTTTATAGTGTTTTTTGCAAGGGAAAACGGATTACAACAAAACAACCGGATCTGGATCACATCGTTTTACCTGAGGCTTCCTCACGAAAATGATGAAAATGTAGCTGCGGCCTAGGCGGCGCAGGGGGGGCGCGCACCAGGGGGCCCAACAATAATTATTCTTTAGAATAAATAATGTTCAACACCCAACAACAACAACCACAACAACAACCACAGCAATAATAACAACAACAACCACAACAACAACAACAAGAACCAGCAGCAACAACAACAATAACAACAAGAATACCCAACAACAACAACAACAACAACAACAACAGCAACAATAACAACAACAATCATTGTAAGACTGCTCGTTCCTATCTGCTCACACGTGCCAATCAATACGTACACCCCAAACCATGGGTACCCGCCCTCGTCGTCTTCGATCGTACCCCCTCGGGGTATATCTTCCTTACCTGCCACATGCATTTAGTGCAGCCCCGAAAACAAGGGAAGAGGAGACGGGTGAAAGGGGGAGGGAGGAGAATGGAACACGAGAGAAATTAGCAGGGGGGGGGGCAAGGAGCAGAAAACAAGTGGTAGAACCAGACGGGCACATCGGGTGGGCAGACCCATAGCGAACAGGTCGGGGACGCGACCCCAGGCGACCAGGTCGAGCAGGCGGGTTGCTGAAGCGTGGGTCCTGCATGAATCTCGAGGAAGTCTCGAGCGATAGCGCGATTCGAAAAGCCAAAACGAGAGAGTGACTCCTGAGCGCCGAGGGCATGGTCTGAATAAACCGCGAGGGAATCCCACGCGAGAGCGCGATTCGTATCCAAACTGGTAGGAAGTCCCGCGCGAGAGCGCGATTTGGGAATACATTGTGACGAAGTATCAGGCGAGAGCCGCTGTTGTAAACCGGGGCAAACGGCCAAGTTTGAACCCATTTCCCCGAGAAGAACAAAGTGCGAGCCCCGGGGGAAGCACTTCAGTTGAAAAAATACAATGGTCACCGGAGGGGGGCTCAACGAGAACTATTCTTCGGTAATGAATTCAACAACAACAACAACAACAACCACAACAACAACAACAACGACACATTATTCTTAGACGGGAACAGGTAAATACAAAAACAACAACAACAACAACAACAACAACAACAACAACAACAACAACAACAACAACAACAATTACTAGCACGTGGGGACACTCCGTTCTCACCAGTGCCAGGGTTTTCATAGGAGGCGGGCAATACCCCCACTTTGTGGGGGGGCCGGTTCAAGCTCTACCAAATTTCCAAACGACTCTTCGCCACCACCCACACCCAGCTTCCCGCCCTATGACGTTCGGACACTTCACTTCGTGGCATGCGGACGACCGTGGCTACTATTCAGGGCCCCGCGGCCGACGACGACGGCGTGCGCGCGCGAAGAAAAAACGAATGTGTCCCGCATGGTATTATTTGACAGGGATGATGGCCCTGGCAGGTGCGCAACCGTTGTTGCAGAAGTTCGAAAAAGTTGCTCGCAAAAGCCCGTTTGACAGAAATGTTTAAAAAGTGTTGGGTTTCCTACGAATCCGCAAGAGCGCGCGGGATGAAATTTTGACAATTTTTTTTTGAAAAACCATTGGTTTTTTATGTTTTTATGTTAAAATCGCTACGAAAACTAAGGTTTTGGAAGGATTTCGTCTTGCGCGCGCGAATGTCCACTTTACCTTATTTTTTGCAAGGGATTCTTGAAATTTGGTTATGTTAGAACAAGAAATGTCATTTTATATTGTTTTTTGCAAGGGAAAGCGGGGGGGAACAAAACAACCGGATCTGGATCACATCGTTTTGCCTGAGACTTCCTCACGAAAATGATGAAAATGTGGCTGCGGCCTAGGCGCGGCGGGGGGGGCGTGCACCAGGGGTCCCAACAATAATTATTCTTTAGAAGAAATAATGTTCAACAACAACAACAACAACAACAACAACGACACATTATTCTTAGACGGGAAAAGGTAAATACAACAAAACAGCAACAACCACAACAACAAAAACAGCAGCAGCAACAACAACAACAACAACAACAACGACGACGACGACGACGACGACGACGACAACAACAAAAACAACAACAACAACAACAACCACAACAACAACAACAGTAACAACAGTAACAACAACAGCAGCAGCAATAACAACAACAACAACAACGACAACGACAACGACAACGACAACAACAACAACAACAACAACAACAACAACAACAACAACAACAACAACAACAGCTGCAGCATTATCCGATTCTTCCCACAGCCTCCTCGACAACTTCTCCTCCGCTTTGCCTCGTTCGACAGGTCAGGCAATTCGCCTGGACTTCGTTGCTGGATGAGCTAATGGGGGGGGATACGCAAGCGTCAAGAGTTCGATCGAATACATTCAGAAACGTGCATGGGCACCACACCGCAAGGCCAGCCTCTCGCACGATCGTGGCGCAGCGAGAGCACAGGCAGAAGGCGTTGTTCCTGACACCGCCCCGCCACAAAAATCGAACCCAGATCGTGAACAGAAAGTATTTGGAGGCCTGGAAACGGGCACCAGCACCAAGACAGGGGGCTGCCTCCACAGGGGGGAGATGATCCCAGATTTCGGTGTTCGTGGTAATATTTCGGTCACCTTGGAAGCCAGAATATTACCACCATCACCGAGATCGGGATCTGATTCCCTCGGTGGAGGAACACCGCCGATATTCGGAAGCTGGGCGAGGGCTGCTAAAACCGTGGCTGCTAAAACGGCCCTCCCAGAAGGAAAAAAAACAACTTCCCGGAATGAGGCGCGGCACGCGAAACCGTCAACGGGCTTCTTCCCGAAGGACGAAATCAACTTCCCGGAGGTCGATTTTACCAGCCACGGATTCAGCAGCCCTTGCCCGGCTTCCGAGATATTGGTGTTGGCGTCAAACTCTAGGCGTGCCTCGCGCAGTCGGAGGCTGGACTCCGCCCTCCGCCGACCTTTGGGGGAACAAAAGGTGACATGAACATATAAAAACTCGAAGTCCGCGCGGACTTCTCGGGTCGGCGCTGGACCCCCCTCCCTGGCGCGCGGAGCGCGCCAGCGGCGGCGCCGGAGGCGCCGCCGGGGGGTCCCAGCGCCGATCCGAGAAATCTGCGCGGACCTCCGAGCTTTTACGTTTGTGACACTTTTTTCGGGAGCGGCAAAGAGGGGGGCGTCCAAGAGGGGGGGGTGCAAATCATGACCGGCGGCATCTGCGCGGCCCCGCGGGGGGGCCTGGGACGCAATAAAATAAGAAGAAGAGGCGCCGCCATGAGATCTGGGGAAATATCATGGCCCCCGCCATGATATCCACCCCCCCCTAGTCATCACCCCCCTCTTTTCCGCCCCCGAACTTTTTGTTCCCCTAGACCTGCGACGGTCGGGATCCGGGCCCGGGCGCTGACCCGGCGGGGCGCGGGCTCGCGGGGAGGGGAGCGGGCGGCGGCTCCCCTGAAGCCCGCCGAGGAGGAGGAGGAGGAGGAGGAGGATGAGGAGGGGGAGGAGGAGGAGGAGGAGGAGGAGGAGGAGGAGGGGGAGGAGGAGGAGGAGGGGGAGGATGAGGAGGAGGAGGAGGAGGAGGAGGAGGAGGAGGAGGAGGAGGAGGAGGAGGAGGAGGAGGGGCCCCGGGGGACACACAGGTGGGCACCGCTCGTGCCCCGTGCGGGCCCCAGGGGCCCACTGTAGGGCCAAAAGAAGTTGGCGGGGCCCCGGGAGACACACGAGCGGGTGGACACGGATCACAGGGATCCCCACATTTTGCCGTCTGTTCTGGGGTCTCGTCTTCCCCCCCCCACTTCCCATGTCTTCTGGGGAAGCGACGATTCATTGTGTCAGTGCAGTTTTTTTCCCTCCTAACTGAAGGCGAATGTTGCCTGTCCTCTGAAAGAAAAACATTTGCCGCTATCCTCAGAAAAATCTGCCATTCAGTGAGACAATCGTGCCTTCGGCGGGGGCGGGCGCTAGCGCGCGAGAGAGGAGCGGTCGGGCCTCGCGGAATGGAGGGGCGACAGATTGTAGAGGAGAAACGTGCACCGTTCGTCCCTAGGGGCCCACTTTAGGGCAAAAAAGGTTGAAGGGGCCCTGGGACACACAAATGAATAGACACATATAACAGGATTCCCAATATTTTCCTATATTTTCTGTGTTTTTGTCTTCCCCCTCCACTTCCATATTTTCCCATAGATTTTCCTGGGAGTCGACGACGAATTGTCTCTGTGTGTTTTTCCCCTGCTGAAAGGTGCACCTTTCTTCACCCCCCACGAGGCACCAATACCGCTGCTCCACGGACCTCTCCCCGGGGGTGCGCTCTGACCAGGACTTCGAAGCGAATCCAGCGGTGGCGACGAGGCCCTCCGAGGAGGCCCAAAACGGCGAAAACGAGGAAGGGTAGCATCTCTTCGTCCTCTGACATCTGTCGCCCCCCCATTACGCAACGCCCAAAGCGTGCGGCGGCTCCTGCGTCCAGCACGACTCCCGTCGTCCGGCCACTGGCGTACAGCGACAGGATCGCCTGCCCACGAGCGAGGCGGCGCGCACGGGTGGCGAGGATTTGCCGGCGGTCAGCGAGAGGCCGCGGCACTGGGGAGGGCCCTCGGGGGGGCACCCTTCGCGGAACGGGAGCTGTCACCCAGGCGGCTCGGGTAGGCCTCGCAAGATCCGCGACCAATGAATAACAGCAAGGGAGGGTGGGTATGATTTCGGGGGGTCTGGCTCGAGCCGTCTTGAAGGGCTCGGTGAGGGGAGCTGGGCAAGAGGTCCGGGGTGGTGCGTATGGGGCCACGAAGAGCGCGAACGAGCGGGGGCCACGAAGGGCAGATAACGCGGGGCCACAGAAGGCAACGATGGGGCCGCAGAGGGTAGCAACTGGGCCACGTAGGACAGTGAGGGGGCCAGAAACGGCGACAGCGGGGCCACGAAGGGCATGCACATGGGGCCACAACGGGCGCGAACGAGCCGGGGCCACGAAGGGCATACGTATGTTGGGCCGCGGAGGGCAAGGACGGGGCCACTGAGGGCAGCAACGGGGCCACGAAGGGCAGCGAGGGGGCCACGAAGGGCGACAGCGGGGCCACGAAGGGCATGCTTTTGGGGCCACCACGGGCGCGAACGAGCGGGGGCCACGAAGGGCATACATATATGGGGCCACGAAGGGCAGCGAGGGGGCCACGAATGGCTGCAACGGGGCCACGAAGGGGAGCGAGGGGGCCACGAAGGGCTGCAACGGGGCCACGAAGGGCTGCAACGGGGCCACGAAGGGCAACGAGGGGACCACGAAGGACTGCAACGGGGCCACGAAGGGTAGCGAGGGCGGCCACGAATGGCTGCAACGGGGCCGCGAAGGGAGCGAGGGGGCCACGAAGGGCTGTCTGTAACGGGGCCACGAAACAAAGCGAGGGGGCCACGAAGGGCTGCACATGGGCCACGAAGGACAGCGAGATCCCGATTCCTAGGTAATCTGTAAGGGAGTCCTAAGCGTGAGCGCGACTCCTGGGTGCCTGGGTGTCGGGAGCGCGGCGCTTGAGTAAATTGCAAGAAATTCCAACGCAAGGGAGCTATTCGTCAGTAAATTGCAAGCGAGTCTCCAGCGAGAGCGCGACTCCAGAGCGCTGGGAGAGCGACTCCTAGATGAATTGTAAGAAGTCCCAAGCGAGAGCGCGCTTCCTTAATAAAATGCGAGGAAGTCTGTCCTGGCTAAATTGTGAGGAAGTCTCAGGCGGGAGCCGTTGTTGTTATAACCTGGGGGCCAGCGGCGCAGTTTGAGCATCAAGACTTTCCCTGTCAAAAAACAGGGTGTGAGCGTCAAGGGGCACCCTTTGATTGAAAAACAACATGCACCGGTGAGGGGGGATCAACTATAAGTATTCTTCAAAAAACAGCAACAGCAGCAGCAGCAACAACAACCACAACCACAACAACAACCACAACAACAACATCAACCACAGCAACAACTGCAACAACTGCAACAACTGCAACAACAACAACAAGAATGTTAAGACTGTTCGCTCCTATCTGCTCACGTGCCAATCAATACGTCTATCCCAAACCCTCGTCGTCTTCGGTCGGTCGTACCCCCTTGGGGGCATATCTTCCTTACCTGCCACGTGCATGTAGTGCAGCCCCTAAAAGAGAAGATGGGTGGAAGGGGGAGGGAGAAGAATGGAGCACGAGAGAAATTAGCAGGAGGGGGGCAAGGAGCAGAAAACAAGTGGTAGAACCAGACGGGCAGATTGGGCGGGCAGACCAATAGCGGGCAGGTCGGGAAGCCGGGCCCAGGCGACCAGGTCGAGCAGGCGGGTTGCTGAAGCGTGGGTCCTGCATGAATCGCGAGGAAGTCTCGAGCGATCGCGCGATCCCCAAGGAAACCGTGAGAAAAGCCCAAGCGAGAGCGTGATTCCTGAGCGCCGAGGCCGCATCGTCTGAATAAACTGCAAGGAAGTCCCACGCGAGAGAGCGATTCGTATACAAATTGTGAGGCAGTCCCGCGCGAGAGTGCGATTTGGGAATACATGATGAGGAAGTATCAGGCGGAAGCCGTTGTTGTTGCAAACAGGGGGCCAACAACACAGTTTGAGCCCCGTGATTTTCCCTGATCAAAAACAGAGTGCGAGCCCCGGTGAGAGCACTTCAATTAAAAATACCATGGTCACCAAAAGGGGGGATCAACAATAATTCCCCACATGCTTCGTGGGGTTCTGGTTTTCTTCCCTGCCGCGCCGCGCCCGCGTCTCCCCCACACCCGCCCTCCTCCCCTCCTCCTCCTCCTCCTCCTCCCCCTCCTCCTCAGCACAGCGCAGCACAGCACAGCAGACCGCAGCACAGCATAGGACAGCACAGCACAGCTCAGCAGAGCACAGCACAGCACGTCTCGGCGACACGCGTCTACATACAGCCGCACGCATGCACACACTCGCACACACAAGACGACACCAGTCCTGGCATAGCAGGCGTGGCACTTTCTCGACACCATAGGGGGTGCGCAGGGGGTGGTCTCTCGCTGCGGTCTCTATACGCCCCAGTCGTCCTGCTATAGCAGGCGTGGCCCCAGTCGTCCTGGCATAGCAGGCGTGGCACTTTCTCGACACCATAGGGGGTGCGCAGGGGGTGGTTTCTCGCTGCGGTCTCTATACGCGCCGGTCGTCCAGGCATAGCAGGCGTGGCACTTTCTCGACACCATAGGGGGTGCGCAGGGGGTGGTCTCTCGCTGCGGTCTCTATACGCGCCGGTCGTCCAGGCATAGCAGGCGTGGCACTTTCTCGACACCATAGGGGGTGCGCAGGGGGTGGTCTCTCGCTGCGGTCTCTATACGCGCCGGTCGTCCAGGCATAGCAGGCGTGGCACTTTCTCGACACCATAGGGGGTGCGCAGGGGGTGGTCTCTCGCTGCGGTCTCTATACGCGCCGGTCGTCCAGGCATAGCAGGCGTGGCACTTTCTCGACACCATAGGGGTGCGCAGGGGGTGGTCTCTCGCTGCGGTCTCTATACGCGCCGGTCGTCCAGGCATAGCAGGCGTGGCACTTTCTCGACACCATAGGGGGTGCGCAGGGGGTGGTCTCTCGCTGCGGTCTCTATACGCGCCGTCGTCCAGGCATAGCAGGCGTGGCACTTTCTCGGCGGGGGTGCGCAGGGGGTGGTCTCTCGCTGCGGTCTCTATACGAGGCATAGCAGGCGTGGCACACCATAAACTCCTAAGGCGCGCTCTATACGCGCCGGTCGTCCATAGCAGGCATTTCTCGACACCATAGGGGGTGCGCAGGGGGTGGTCGCTGCGGTCTCTATACTCGTCCAGGCATAGCAGGCGTGGCACTTTCTCGACACCATAGGGGGTGCGCAGGGGGTGGTCTCTCGCTGCGGTCTCTATACGCGCCGGTCGTCCAGGCATAGCAGGCGTGGCACTTTCTCGACACCATAGGGGGTGCGCAGGGGGTGGTCTCTCGCTGCGGTCTCTATACGCGCCGGTCGTCCTGGCATAGCAGGCGTGGCACTTTCTCGACACCATAGGGGGTGCGCAGGGGGTGGTCTCTCGCTGCGGTCTCTATACGCGCCGGTCGTCCTGGCATAGCAGGCGTGGCACTTTCTCGACACCATAGGGGGTGCGCAGGGGGTGGTCTCTCGCTGCGGTCTCTATACGCGCCGGTCGTCCAGGCATAGCAGGCGTGGCACTTTCTCGACACCATAGGGGGTGCGCAGGGGGTGGTCGCGCGGCTGCTATACGCGCCGGTCGTCCAGGCATAGCAGGCGTGGCACTTTCTCGACACCAGAGGGGGTGCGCAGGGGGTGGTCCCTGAGCGCGGCTGCTATACGCGCCGGTCGTCCAGGCATAGCAGGCGTGGCACTTTCTCGACACCAGAGGGGGTGCGCAGGGGGTGGTCCCTGAGCGCGGCCGCTATGCACGACGGTCGTCCAGGCACAGCAGGCGTGGCACTTTCTCGACACCAGAGGAGGGCGCAGGAGGTGGTCCCTGAGCTCGGCCGCTATGCGCGACGGTCGTCCAGGCACAGCAGGCGTGGCACTTTCTCGACACCAGAAGGGGGCGCAGGGGGTGGTCCCTGAGCGCGGCGCTATACGCGCCGGTCGTCCAGGCATAGCAGGCGTGGCACTTTCTCGACACCAGAGGGGGTACACAGGGGGTGGTCCCTGAGCGCGGCCGTTACGCACGACGGTCGTCCAGGCACAGCAGGCGTGGCACTTTCTCGGCACCAGAGGGGGGCGCAGGAGGTGGTCCCTGAGCTCGGCCGCTATACACGATGGTCCTCCTCCCTTCTCTCCTCTTCTTCCTCCTCCTCCTCCTCCTTGCCCTCTACCTCCTCTCCAGGAGGCCGACCTGGCTTGTCCGTGCTCGGCCGCCTTAGGTGTCTCGTGCTCGACCGACCTGACTTGTTCGACCGCCTTAGGTGTGGCGTGCTGGATCGATCTGACTTGTTCGACCGCCGTAGGTGTCTCGTGCTGGACCGACTTGACTTGTCCGACCGTTGGACAGCTCCGCTCTCGTGCTCGACCGCTTTGGGTGTCCCGTGCTCGCCCGCCATAGGTGTCTCGTGCTCGGCCGCCTTACGTGTCTCGTGCTCAACCGCCCTAGGTGTTCCGTTCTGGACCGACCTGACTTGTCTTTGCTCGGTCGCCTTACGAGTCCGGTGCTCGACCGACCTGGCTTGTTCGACCGCCCTAGGTGTTGCGTGTTCGGCCGACCTGACTTGTCCGCGCTCGGCCGCCCTAGGTGTCTCGTGCCTGAGAGAGGAGCATGATGAGGATGAGGGGTGGATGAGCAGGAGCAGGAGGACCAAGGGGACGAGGAGGGAAGGAGTTTAGGAGGAGAAGCGGGAAGAGGATGGGGACGGATGCGCAGGAGCAGAAGGAGCACGAGGAGGAGGAGGAAAAGGAGGAGGGCGAGGAGGACGAGGAGGAGAGGGGCGATGATGAGGAGGACGGCGATGAGGAGGAGGAGGAGAGGAGGAGGCGGCGGCGACGACGACGACGACGCCATCCCAGATCCTGCACGGGGCGCTCCAAGAAGGCTCTGGCCCTCGGGGGACCGACGAGCACGACGACGAGTACGACGGCGAGGTACGACGACGAGTACGATGACGAGTAAGACGATAGAGCGGCAACGAGTACGACGACGAGTACGACGAGTACGACAACGAGTACGACAAGTACGACGACGATTCGCGACGAGGGTTTAGACCGCAGCATTGCGCATAGATGATAATGACAAGCAAACACATAAGATTAAAAATCAGTATGTGGGGTTCCTCGGTAGCGTAATTTTTCTTCAGTCATGAGAGGTCAACAACAGCGACGACAACAACAGCAGCATCAACGACCACAACAACAACAGCAACAACAGCAACAACAACAACAACAACAACAACAGCAACAAGTCACAAGTCACAACAACCACAACAACAGCAACCACTACTACTACTACTACTACTACTACTACTACTTCTACTACTACTACTACTACTACTACTACTACTACTACTACTACTACTATGCCACCAACAACAACAACAACAACAACCACAACCACAACAACAACAACAACAACAACAACAACAACAACAACAACAACAACAACAACAACAACAACAACAACAACAACCACAACAGCAACAACAACAACAACAACAACAACAACAACAACAACAACAACAACAACAACGACAGACACAAGACACTCTGGAGGGGCAAGGTGCGAGCCGTGGTGCACGTTGGGAGGCGCAGAGCATCCCTCACGCCCGCTGGGCGGCCAGCGGTCTGCCGGCTCTCCCCGCGGGCCCTCCCGGGGTCCCCCCTTCGCGGGGGACCCGACGGGGCAGGGGCCGTCTTGTCTCGCCTCGGCGGCCGAAGGCGCCGGCAACCACAGAGAAGCGCAGAGGATACTGCTCCATGCCCACCTCCGAAACGGCCCCGCCGCACCACGCCTGCCTCGCCCGCGAGCGTCCCCCGAGACGGCCCGAAACGCCCCCCGGGAAGTCTTCAGGGCGCCCACGAGGCCCCCGAGGCGCTCCTGCGAGAGGCCCCCTGGGAGGGCCCTGCACCCACAGGCAGCCCACGATACTGCGGACTGGGGCCCTGAGGCCGCCGAGCCCCCAGGACGCACCCAGGAGACACCCCCAGGTGCCTCCAGCACGCCTCTGAGGGGCTCCGACGAGGGCCTCGTGAAACCCTCAAGCGGGTCAACGCACCACGTTTTTCTTCCTGGCGAGGCTCTCTCCCTCTCTCCCTCCCTCTCTCCCTCTCTGCCTCTATCCCTCTCTCCCTCTCCTGCCACGTCCGCCACTGCTTCTCTCGATCCCCTCGTTCGTCTGGTCCTCTTCCCACTTCATTTCCACTCGGCCAGACCAGGCCGTGTCGCCCAGGACCGAGCCTGAATTGGACCAGACCAAGCCAGACCGGACCAGACCAGACCACACCTCCGCCAGGCCAGACCAGACCACACCGGACGGGACCAGACCACGCTGGGTCGGAGCAGATCAGACCCGAGGGGAGGGTTGGGAGGATGTAGCTACACATGCGTAGATGATAGCACGATTCCCATTATCCTCCTCCGTCACATCCTCCTTATCATACTCCGCCTCATCCTCCTCTTAGTCTCCTTCTTCCTCCTTCTCTTCCACCACCTCTTTCTCTCCCTTCTGATGCTGGCCCCTTCCTGCCCCTCTGACTATTCCTCCTCCTCCCCCTGCTCCTTCTCTGTTCCTTCCTCCGTCATCCCTCACATGCACTCCTTCCCTTGCCACCATTGGAAAAAACTTCTGGCCGCCAGCCTCCTGACAAAAGAATACCGACGTAGAGAATCGAACAGATACGAAAGAGTGACGTCTACGATACTTCATGCGAGCACGCGTGAGATGTTCTCTAAAGCATTGGGCAAGTCTCCCCGCCGCCTCATGGAATGAGGACGGGGTCATGACCTCCATCTCGACCAGACGGCAGAGATGAGTGGGGAAAAGGCGAATGAAGGGCCCACAAACACACAATTAAATACACACAAATAAAAAGATTCCCCATATTTTCCCATAGTTTCTGGCTTTTTGTCTTCCCCCCCACTTCCCATATTTTTCCATATTTTCCTGGGGATCGACGATTAAATGTGTCTGTGTGTTTCTTCCCCTCCTGGGCGAAAACCTCCTCCAGGGCTCACGTCGCACTTTTTGCGTGGGTGGCTGGGCAGAGGGACTGCTCTGGCGATGCAGCGGGCTCACGCCACGCACACGCAGTCTGGTCCAACCGCGATCGCATCCGCAGCGCGGTCCGACATCACCGCCCAGACGGGGGAGGACGCTCGGCCACGGGGGGCGAGAGGGAGCGGAGGAACAAACCCCATCAAGTGGATCTGATCAGGTATGACGCAGTCTGATCAAACCGCGATCGAATCCGCAGCGCTGTCTGACCGCACCGCCCAGACGAGGGAGGACGCTCGGCCACGGGGGGAGAGAGGGAGCGGCGGAACAAACCATCGAGTGGATCTGATCAGGCATGAAGGGGCCCTGGAACACACACAAATAACCCTGGGTAAGAGTGACCTTTGGTAAGAGTGACCTTTGGGTAAGAGTGACCACTGGTGCGAGGCTCGCTGAGGGCCGCGGGGGGGCCAAACACGAGCGCACGGGGCGCTACCGTCGCACCCCGTTCGGCGAGCGGGGGGCCCCAATGAGCCCGCACCAGTGGTCACTCCGGCGAAGGGTCAATCTTACGTCTAGTCGAACACTTTGAAGGGGCCCTGGGACACACAAATGAATAGACACAAGTAACAGGAGTCCCCATATGTTCCTAGATCTTCTGGGTTCTCGTCTTCCCCCCCACTTCCCATCCCATATTTTCCCATATTCTCCTGGGAGTCGACGATTCATTGTGTCTGTGTGTGTGTTTCCCCTCCTGAAGGTATTCGAAGCTGGAACGATGGTGTGTCGAACACCGCAACGCAAAAAGCGCGATGGTGAGAATGAGGGGGGAGAGAAGACAGAGCAGGCAAATGACATAACATAATGGTGTTCCGACGTGTTGGGACAATCTGTCCACTTCAGAAGTTCATGGGCCTCCCAGACTGGCAGTATCGCAATAAATGAGCACGCTGCAATGATACGCTATTCTGCTTTGATTTGCATGGACCACTTCCCGACTTGACCACTCATGCTGGACCACTCCTACCGCAATGGAATCGCCTGCGCGGACACGAAGAGCGCAGGGCAACCAAAGGTCTCGAAGAATCCGCTAACACCTTGAAGGTGAAACGGCGTCTGGAAGGAGCGGCCGCCTTGTGACTGCAGCATATGGCATGACAACTCAGTACCGTTGTGGCAAGTGCTGCTGCATAAAACGATACCCGTATTGTGAACATCACCGCCGACGCTCCATCCGTCGCATGTGAACGTCTCTCACGTGCCTTCAGTGCGCTCGCTCTCTAAAATCCTTCCCGGCAACAATTGCCTCGACCGTCGTCCTCTCCGGCGGCTGTATGGCGAAACCTCGCGGATATCTCCGCCGCCTGGCGCGCCGTCGGAGCTCAGGGGCCGAGAGAGCACGGAAACGCTTATCCAGGGCAGCTCTCTGTGCTGGACAGGCCCCCTTTGGGCGCCCTCCGAGCACTCCCGAAAGACTGCACCAACAGAACCTGCGGCAGCGGCCTGGCCAGTGAAGGTGCGACGTGTCATGCGAGGGCTCATCGGTGATTCTGGGCCCCCACTGAGCCTTCTCGCCAAGGGGTCGCTCGAGCAGGGATGAGGACCACGAGGAGGGGGCCAGGGGCCCTCGCGTGCCACGACGCGCAGGATGGAGCACCCGCCGGCGCCGCAGGGAACCTCCGCAGCGCGCAGGGCAGGGCCAGGTGCCCTCTGAAGAGGAGGACCCAGGGATGGAAGGGGGGTGGTTCGACGAGTCAGAAATGCCCCGTCGGCCTACAGGAGGCGCAGGGGGCGGTCAAGAGACCCGCGCGGGCGAGCGCGCACTGCGGGGGGCGGTGCGCGGTGGACGGCTGGTCGGCTCAGCTCGACGCCACGAGAAGAGGAGAGCATTCGGCCTCCGCGCCACGCCAGCGAGCCCTCAGGCAGAAGTGCTTTCGAAAACGACGGGGAACAAAGAAAATAGTGACGAGTCCACAGTCTGGCGCAAGCCTCCAGATTAGTAGCTTCGCAACCATTATATATATATATACATAGATCAGGAAGCGTTGACTCCAAATAGATAGGAGAACAGGAGGAGGACGAGAGGAGGATGTGAGGAGGACGAAAGGAGGAGGGGAGCAGGACGGGAGAAGGACGGAAGGAGCAAAAATCAAGCAAGCGTAGGCAAGCAAGCGGAAGCAAGCAAGCGCAAGCGAGCAATAACAAGCAAGCAAAGGGCAAGCAAGCAAAGGGCAAGCAAGAGCAAACAAGAGCAAGCAAGGGCAAGCGATCAAGTGCAAGCAAGCAAGGGCAAGCAAGGGGTGCCATTGGAAATAAGGAGGGGCGTCATGGGAAAAAAAGGGGGGTCCCAAAGACCAATTACGTATGATGAGCTAGGACTCCCATAAGGCAATCCTATTTGGAGAACATGGAGAGGTCTCGCAATCGAAGCCAATGTGCCCTGACACTGGAAAGCAGGAAAGCCGCTGTGCGGCGCCACTGCCCATATAGTACTGCGTGACTGATAATGTGCTTTGTCACCCGGTTCGAAGTCGATTTATTCTCGCGGTGTACAACATTGGCGTTCCCGATGCTCAGTTCTTCCCGAATCTCGCTGCGCGAAGCGCGATCCACGATCATCTCACCACTGAAGCTGACCTGAGTACTCTGCTATGCCCGAAGTGATGCTTCACAATGTTTCGCAGGACTCCCCTCCTAACCTCCAGAGCGCAATCTGCACACTGGCCAGCCGACGAGAACCACTCATCCAAAAGTCACCCACATCCACCACTTGCCTCTCAAACTCCTCATCATCCTTCTCCTCCTCCTCCTCCTCCTCCTCCTCCTCCTCCTCCTCCTCCTCCTCCTGCGCACCATCATCAGCATCACACGTCTCCACGCCCATGTGATCATCATCACCACCACCACCACCATCACAATCACCATCATCATCATCATCATCATCATCATCATCATCATCATCATCATCATCATCATCATCATCATCATCATCATCTCATCACCATCACCATCATCATCATCATCATCATCATCATCATCATCATCATCATCATCACCATCATCATCATCATCATCGTCATCATCATCATCATCATCATCATCATCAGCAACAGCAGCATCATCATCATCAGCAACAGCAGCATCATCGTCATCGACATCATCATCATCATCATCATCATAATCATCATCATCTTCATCATCATCACCACAACCATCATCATCATCAGTATCATACGAACCAGTATCATCATCAGCAGCAGCATTATCATCAGCATCATCCTCATCAGCAGCAGCTGTATTATCATCATCAGCATCATCATCATCAGCAGCATCATCATAATCGTCATAATCATCAGAATCATCGTCCTCGTCATGATCATCATGGTCATACTCATCATCGTCATCTACATACTCATCATAATCGTCATCGTCGTCTTCATCATTACCACCAAGGTCATCGCATCGTACATGTCCTCCCCATCTTCATCGTCATCGCCGTGATCCTCGTCACTAGCGTCGCCTTCTTCATCACCACCGCCTTGACCGTCGTAATCGTTATCGCCATCCTCATCATCATGAGAGTCATCGTCTATTACCAGTATGCACCATCCATCACCGTCACCAGCCAGTATCAGCATCATCAATATCAGTAGCATCAGCATCATCATCATCACCATCATCACCATCATCAGCATCATCATCATCAACACCAAAACGACCACCATCATCATCATCCGAATTCATAGCATCCTACTCATCATCATCACCCTCAACATCAACACCAACAACAACACCATCATCAATAACATCACCACCGTCATCCTCCTCACCACCACCACCACTATCATCATCATGTCATCATCACCACCAACATCACCACTATCATCATCATCATCATCATCATCATCATCATCATCATCATCATCATCATCAGCATCAGCATCAGCATCAGCATCAGCATCAGCATCAGCATCAGCATCAGCATCATCATCATCAGCATCATCAGCAGCAGCATAGTCGTCCTGTTTACCCCCCCCACCCACCCTCATCGACTTTACCCACATGATCCCACTCGCCCGCTCCATCAGAGTCCTCATCCAGCTCGTCTGAGTACCAAATTATCCGCCCACCAGCTTGTTCTAAGAACGCAGCCGAGTGCCCAAAAGGCTCTGCGAGGGCCGAGCCCCCGACCCGACGGAACTCCTGGGCACTCCCGGGCTGTGTCGCGTGAGCTTCCTGGATGCACGCGCTGGACAGCAAAAATATGGCTGGCTGCTCCACCGCTTTAGCTCAGCGGTTGCGCCAACCCTGACACGCAGAAACTCTCCCGCCCAGCACAACCCCAAGAACCCCCGGAGACCCCCGGAGACCCCCCAGGGACACCCTGGAGGTCCGCAAGGCGTGGTGACGGAACGTGCCACGAGCTGCAGGATGATCCTCATCGTCCCCATCATCCTCATCACTCCCGCAGCTCAATAACGACCTCCTAACCGACCGTCGTCATCTCATAAGACCTATAACTATAGTCCATCATCGCAAACGTCATAAGTCGTGATCATGGTCAGAGTCCCTCCTCCCCCATGACCCTCCTGATACTCCTGCCCCTACTCCTCACCCCCCCATCCTCCGGCCTCCTCTTCGAGCTCCCGTTCCTCCTCCGAGGAACAGGCAAAGAGACGCGAGGTCCGAGGCACCCGCCCCAACGACGGGCCAGAAAGAAGAGCACCCTCTGCCGGTCCTCCGTGCCCGCATCCTCTCCACCAGCCCTCTTCATCAGTGGAGGAGGAGGAGGAGGAGGAGGAGGAGGAGGAGACCTCCTCGCCAGGCGCCCTCGCCCTGAGGCCTCCTGCTCCTGCCACCCCCCCCCGCTCGATGGCCGTCGGCCCCTGGCCCCCCGCCTTCGTCCTGAGGCGTCGTGCGCTCCTATCCCGTCGCGCTTTCCCCCGGTTTCTCAGGCGAGCCCAGACGCTCCGAGAAAGCTGAATATGGAGGAGAGGGAGGAAGGGAAGGAGGCCTCCACTGCAGGGGGAGGAGGAAGACGATGCCAAGAAATACGGGGTCGCCGACCCTTTCCCCAGGGCCAGAGTTTCATCCGGAGCTGCTTTGTGACGCTCCTGAGGCCCTGCGAAGGCCCCCCGAAGCCAAAAACGGCTCGAAAAATGCGCGCTGATGAACTCGATACGTTGGGGTCTGGGTGGGTGCAGGGACGGAGGGAGGGAGGGGGGAGGGGTTCCTGCTCCTGCTCCTGCCACCCCCCTCTCTCTGGAGGCCTTCTCGCGGTTTTTGCGAGGGTTCAGGGGAGCCTCTGTGAGCAGCACGGGGTGCTCCTGCCGACAGCCGCCGCCGCCGGAGGAGGAAGAGGAGGAGGAGGAAGAGGAGGAGGGGGAAGGAGAAAGAGGAGGACGAGGACTGATACCTACAACACATACTGTTTCTTACTCTTTCCTTTCCTGCCAATGTCTAACTGACATCATGTCCCGACAGATTGTCGCAGTCGTCGCGTGCTCTATCTTTACTCGTGCAACACGGCAAGCTTTTTTATGTGACGGCAGTCTTGACTCACTATGGTGGATTTGGGGGGTGATTCTGGATGAGGAGGTTCTTAGCGGCGTGACTGACCCGTGAGGCTGTGCCCACTTGGATCTGACACGAAAACTTGGTATGCCAGCTTACGTTGCCTCCTGAGTTCGCTGTGCTGGTATATGTCGATGCCTCTAGTTGGGTTCCCTATAAATATGTACATACATACATACATACATACATACATACATACATACATACATACATACATACATACATACGTACATACACACATACCTACCTACCTACCTACATACATACATACATACATGCATACATACATACATGCATATGTATATATATATATATATATATACATACATACATACATACATCCATACATACAGACATGCATATATACATACATACATACATACATGCATGCATACATACATACATACATACGTATATTTACACACACATACATACATACATACATACATACATACATACATACATGCATACATACATGCATACATGCATACATACATACATACATACATACATACATACATACATACATACATACATATAGATACATACATACACGCATACATACATACATACATGCATGCATACATACATACATACATACATACATATAGATACATACATGCATACCTACATACATACATACATGCATACATACATACATACATACATACATGCATGCATGCATGCATGCATGCATACATACATACATGCATACATACATGTCTACATACATACATACATACATACATACATGCATGCATGCATGCATACATATATACATACATACATACATACATACATACATACATACATACATACATACATACATACATACATACATACATACATACGTACATACATACATACATACATACATACATACATACATACAATCATACATTCATGTATACATACATATATATGTGTTGCGATCGATCTTCGATTCCATATCTCGACCTTCCTCTCCGCACGAAATGCTCGTCGGGCGCATGCGCCGTGCCCTTTCAGACTTACTTATTCTGGCTTCCTCAGCCGACTTTCTCATGTCCAGCTGCGCTCGCCATGCCCAAGTCGTTGCACACCTAAGCCTAGTCGGCGGCGAGTTCTTTCTCACGGACGCTACAGCCCCGAGGATTCAAGTCCGAGGAGAAAGAGAGGGAGAAGGCGCAGGAGGAGAAGGATCAGGGGGAGGAGGAGGGGGAGGAGGAGAAGAAAGAGCGGGACAAGGCGGAGAAGAAGGAGGAGGAGGAGGGTGAGGAGGAGGGGGAGGAGGAGGAGGAGGAGGAGGAGGAGAAGGAGGAGGAGGAGAAAAAGGGGGAGGAGGAGGAGGAGGAGGAGGAGGAGGAGGAGGAGGAGGAAAGGGAGAAGGCGGAGAGGGAGGAGGAGAGGGAGGAAGGGCCCGCGGTGGCCATCGGGCTCCCCCGCAGCGCTGGCCAGAGACCCCACGCCGGCTCGCCTGCGCAGGGCGCCCAGCGGGCCGAACCCGCGGCCTGGCGAGGGAAAGAAGAAACACTTCTCAAGCCGGCGGGCGCAGAAGGCGCGAGAAAGCGGTCGGGCGCCGGTCGGGCAAAGGCGGGGAGCGCCGATGTACTCCAGATTTCGTAATAAAGGGAGGGGGGTCTCATTTCGGGGGGGGGTCTCTTCCAGGCTATCTTGGAGGGCCTGGGGGGTCTGGGGACGATGTTTTGGAGAGTTCTCCCACGGGGGAGGTCTGAAATGGCTTGTCTTGGAGGGTCCAGACCCCCTCCCTTTCATTACGAAATCTGGAGTAACTACTTTGGGCACAGCAAGGAAGGGAGGACAAGAAGAGGGCGGTGCCAGGGCGGGAGCCGCTCATAGACGAGCGCGTTCCACTACTCGCAAGAGCAACTACTCGCAAACGACCTGGATGCGCCGCGAGGGATCTACGGTAAACTACAACAAGCAGACATGTGTTTCTCGGACGTTTGCGAGTAGGCACTTGGCGAGTAGTGGAGCACCCTCGGTGAGCTCAGAGCATGCAGTCCGTCACGAGCGTGCCGGACATGCGCGGCGCCAGGGCGCGGCTGCGACACGGGCAGCGCAAAGGCCAGAATTGGAGACCACGAGGAGGCACGCCTGGAGAAAATGCACGGCGCTCGTGGAGGAGTGGTCCGGGGTGGCCTCGGGCGGGCAGGGCTGCCACGCAGCAGCTGCCGAGGCCGAGGACCTTCGGGGTGTAGCCCGTGCGATGATAAAACGTGAGCATGAAGTGTCAGACCTTGGACAGGTGCCAGAATTAGAAGAAGAAAAAGAAGAGGTAGACCCAGGAGGGGGCCGACCAAATGCTTTATATCAATTTTCTCGGAGCCCCCTCGGTTGGCTCCACTCCCAGATAGCTTGATCCGAGGATCGTCGCCTTGTTCACCGACCCCTCGCCCGTCGCCTCAAGAGGGTGCACAATCTATGCGCTCGACAAGGCAGGGAGGCAGGGTCGCGCCAAGGATGTCTCAGTTTCTGGGCCCTGGAATCTTCTCATGGGAGAGGGCCATGCAAACTGTTTCCGCTGCCTCGTTTTGCCAGCCCTGCACTTTTTCTTGGCTGACGTACTGTGCGTTCTGGCCACGCACACTTCTTCGGGGCCTCGTCCCAAAAGCCCCGAGGGCGATTCCTGGCCGGACCCGGGCGGGAGCCCGTCCGCGCGACCATGGGCATTTCAGAAGAGAGCCCCTGGGTCTGTGAAGGGGAACTGGGACACACTAATAAATACACACAAATAAAAGGATTCCCCATAGTTTCCCATATTTTCTGGGTTTTTGTCTCCCCCCCCACTTCCCATATTTTCCTATATTCTCTGGGGAATCGAGGATTAATTGTGTCTGTGTTTTTTCCCCTCCTGGGTTCGTGGCACGAGACTCTCTCGCCCCGGCAGATTGGGGTCGAGTGAATCCGGTCGACTGCCACTGCGCGAAGCTTCCAGGTTTCGCTCGCACGGCCAGGCGCTGAGCTTCGCGCCCTTGGCAAGGACATGCAGGTACTTCCGGCGCTCTGGCAGATTCTCTGCAACTCTGGGGGGGCCCCTCCATCCCGCACAACGGCCACCGCAAGGGCCCCCACGAGGGCTCGCGAGCGTCGCCGTCGTCGTCCTTGTCATCCCCCTCCAGGGTCGGCGGCACTGGCCGACAGGCCTTCGCAATACGACCAGCGCTCTGGCAGATTCTCCGCAAATCTGGGAGGGCCCTCCATCCCACACAACGGCCATCCTGCAGCTGTTGGAGGGTCTGCCAGCGGAGGCGGGCCTCCGCGGCAATTGCGGGCCGTCGAAGCTGCGAAGGCTGGCGGCGCGCAGAAGCGGGGGTGGCGTGCGGGAGGCTGCATCGTCAGGTGGCGACATCCGAACCCGAGGAGGATCGAGGAGGACGAGGAGGAGGATCGAGGAGGATCGAGGAGGGTCGAGGGGGAGGAGGAGGATCTGCTGGCGCCGGGGGGCCCCCGGAGGCCCCCCGCCGCGGGACGGGAGCTGCCACCCTGGCGGTTCGGGTGGGCCTCGCAGGCTCCACGGCCAGGAGCAGGTGGCGGCATCCGAACCCGACCCCCACCAGCCTTGGCGGCGCGCAGAGGGGGGCAGGGGGAAGGGGGAAGGCTTCTTAGAAGGAGGCTGCTTCTTAGAAGGCGCCGGCCTTACATCTGTAGACAAGGCCCTGCGCGGACCCCCACCAACCATCGACTCGCCGGCACCGACGGGAGGCAGAGAGGCCGGGCCCGCGCCCTGCCCCGGCCGCCCATCGAGTCGCCCGGCCTCGCGGATCGCCGACGGGGGCTCCGAGTGCCGCCCTCGCCGCCGAGGCGTCCGGGGCACGGGGGGCTCCCCGGAGCAGGCTAGGGGCGCGGCGGAGCGACGAGCCCCCGCCAGCGTCGCGCGCGCGCCCCTCGGGGGCCCGCCCGTGCCCTGCAGGGCACGGCGCGGAGGCCGCGGCCTCGAAGAGGTGAGGCGTGCCCAACGGCGAGGCGGGGCCCCCCCCGTCTTGTCGAGGCGTTGCCTGTGGCGGCAGAAGCTCGGGGAGGTGCCGCGAGGGAGGAGCCGGGCCGGGACCGCGCCCAGGGGGAGAGGCCGGGCCCCTCAAAAAAGGTCCCACTGGCCTTTCGGCCCGTCCCGCCGCCCCGCGGAGAGCCACCCCGAGATCCAGAAGACGTGCCTCCTGGGATGGCCCATGTGGCTTCTCCCGGGCGGCACAAGACTGTCGACGGTGCCCCAAGTCCCAAGAAGCTCTCTTGCGCGATCGGCCCCAAGGACCCGTCAGGCCCGTCAGTCGGAACAAGTGGGTGAAAGCATGAAGTAGGAAGGCGGATGGAGTAGATCGGGTCCAGGCCCTCCCAGATAACACCAAAAAACAGCAAACGCATGTCGGTGATTGAAGTGGGAATGCGCTTGGAGTAGATTGGGATCTGGGGATCCAAAAACACCTACGTACTTTGAACGACCAGCGTGTCGCTCTCCGTTCTTTGTTCTGGCGGACCGATGGCAATTTGCGATCGACAACCGATGACCACATGGAAGCTACTATGCGCCAGCGCCACTCGCGAATTCAACGCTGTCCTGCGAGTGTGGCGGACTCGCGTCGCAACCACGGGGGCCCCAGGGGCTCCGGAGTGGAGCGGAAGCCGGGGGGGGCACCCTGGCGCCAGGGGCACCCCTCGGGCCACCCCCGCGAGGGGGGGCGGCGAAGTCTCCGAACAGATCCTCCCGACGCACGTCGCCTCCCGACGCACTCCTTCCGCGAGGGGGCCCCCTCCGCGGAGGCGTGTGCCCCCGTGCTCCCGGCGGCCGATCGTCCTGAAGAGCAGTCTGGAGGCCTCCGAGAGAGGCCTCCGAGAGAGGGCTCCTCGGAGGCCTCCCGAGGCCCGCCTGGGGAGCCCCCCGCCTCCGTGGGGGGCCGCCTCCCTCGCCCTCGCGGTGGGCCGCCGCGCCCCCCCAGGGACGGCGGCAGGAGCAGGGCTGCCGGCCAGCAAGGCGACCGCCCGCCGCCGAGCGCCCACGCGCGCACCCGTCGGCCGAGGTGTGGCGGGCTCTGGCGGCGTGAGCCTCCCCGCAGCAGACCCGACGTCGATCGCGGCAGGAAAACGTTGTACATGCCGCGGCCGCTGACGAACAGCAGCAGCACGACATAGTCCATCAAGAAAACGTAAAGTTCATCAAGAAAACGTAGACGATCGCGGCAGGGCTGCGGCGGACCTGGTGGTGGTGCAGGGAGGTGCAGTCCCGCACGCAGGCTCGAGCATGGGAGCCAGCTTGCCCGACGGGTGCCCCGTCTGAGCATCGTCCAGCCGACCCCTCTCCCCCTTGGGCGTGGCCTGGGCCCCACTGGCCGACTTACCCCCCCCTATATAGATGGGAATACAAGCCGTTTCCCTCGGGCTTCGGAAGTACATCCCCGACTGGGGTGCTGAGATATCGGGGGCCTGGATGGGGATGGGGATAGGGGACAGGGGTCGGGGAAACGATGATGACCTTCGCATCTGCGCCGCCGCAGCCGCCCGCGGGCGGAGACAGGGGAGGAGGTGGAGGAGGAGGAAGAGGAGGAGGAGGAGGAGGAGGAGGAGGAGGACGAGGAGGACGAGGAGGAGGAGGAGGACGAGGAGGAAGAGGAGGAGGAGGAGGAGGAGGAGAGAAGGGGGGGTTTGCAAGCGCTGCCTTGCCACCCCACGGTGCAGGCAAGAAGCGCTCTGGGAGAACGGGGCGGGGTTGTGGCGGCTCCCCGCACGGCCCCCGCGGGCGGGGCCCCCGCGGAGAGGGAGCGGCACCGGGCGGGGCCGGAAGCGAGACCCAAAAGGGGACCAGAAACCAGTCGACACCACCCCACCGACGACCCAGCGATGCTGAAAGCTTGGGCACTTGCTCAGCTACGACCACCTACGACCCTCCCCTCCTCCTCCTCCTCCTCCTCCTCCTCCTCTCCTCCCCTCCTCCTCCTCCTCCTCCTCCTCCTCCTCCTCCTCCTCCTCCTCCCCTCCTCCTCCTCCTCCTCCCTCCTCCTCCCTCCTCCTCCTCCTCCTCCTCCTCCACAATTACTCAATATGAAAATACTCTCCCTCTTCCTCTGATGGCGTCCGGGTGATGGCCGCGCACCCTCCGCGTACTGTTTTTTTACACACAGGATGCCCGGGAAATCCCGGGAAACGACTCTCGCTGAGGCGCCGGCGTCATTTTTTCCCAAAATGCTGCTCTCGTTGAGGCGCCGGCCTCATTTCTGCTCCCGAATCGTTCCGAATCGTGCTCCCGCTGCAGCGTGGGCCTCATTTTCGGATCGGTGTTTGGCCTCCGTCGTTCAGGATGGCGTTCTCGCCCCAGCGCGGGCCTTTTTCTCGCGCGCCCATCCGCCCGCCACCACCGCGCCGCACCGCCACCACCACCACCACCACCACCACCACCACCACCACCACCACCACCAGCACCAGCACCAGTACCAACACCACCACCACCAGCACCACCACCACCACCAGCACCACCACCACCACCACCACCACCACCACCATACCACCACCACCACCACCACCACAACCACCACCACCACCACCACCACCACCACGCACACACGCACGCACGCACGCACGCGCACCACCACCCACTACGCACGCGCGCGCGGAGCCACAGGTCCGCTACGACACGCGTCCGCGGATAGAGAAAATCAGCGCCATGGTAAGGGATGGGAGGGAGGGGTAGGACGTCAGATATGACGCGAGCGCACCTAGCTTGCCCCCCCCTCCTCCTCCTCCTCCTCCTCCTCCTCCTCCTCCTCCTCCTCCTCCTCCTCCTCCTCCTCCTCCTCCTCCTCCTCCTCCTCCTCCTCCTCCTCCTCCTCCTCCTCCTCCTCCTCCTCCCTCCTCCTCCTCCTCCTCCTCCTCCTCCTCCTCCTCCTCCTCCTCCTCCTCCTCCTCCTCCTCCTCCTCCTTCCTCCTCCTCCTCCTCCTCATCCTCATCCTCCTCCCCTCCTCCTCCTCCTCATCATCATCATCATCATCATCATCATCATCATCATCATCATCATCATCATCATCATCATCATCATCATCATCATCATCATCATCCCTCTTCATCCCTCTTCCTCCCTCCTCCTCCCTCCTCCCTCCTCCCTGGTCAGGCCCGAGCTGCAAGAACGGAGGCCGAGCCCACACCTCGGGGCCTGGCCCAGCTGGGCAGGAGTCCGCTGCACGTTTCGCGTGAGGCCACTGACTCAGTAATTCGTGTGGCCAGCCTGTGAGAACAAAGGGCCGTGAACTGTCAAATGAGAGAGAAGTGGAGAAGAAAGGAGTCGGAACGGCAAAACTGCTGCCTCGTCTGCAAGTCCTAGCGAGCACCCTGGTACCACGGGGGGCGGCCGCACGCAGATCCTCCATGTTTACCTTCATCTCAGAATATATGTGGCGCCAGATGAGCTCCATGTCGTCCCAGTGTTGAACGACGCCATGAGCCAGAGGATACTTCAATGTCAATATTCCACGCAACTCCTCGGCTTTCTGGCCTGCCGAATCCGAGGCACACAGGGATAGTGCATTCAAGGGGCTTCGAGTGAGGCCAATCATGCAACACTGAACAGACGCAGAACAAGAGAGGGTAGCACTTGGAAGCCTGTCGCAGTGGGCCTGGGAGCAAATGGAGGGGATACAACGCCGCAGAGACGGAGAGTGCAAGATTGAGGGACCCGCGAACCCGGTAAGGAAATCCCACCAGCCCACCCTGCGTGGGGCAAGCGAGTTGCTTCTCCCAAGCCCACTGCTCCTCTCGCCGCCTCGATCGGCCGACGGCTGGGAACGCCGAGGGCGCACCAAACCCCACAGCCTCCCTGCCAAAACATACACCCTGCGAAATGCTTAAGACATCATGGGTTAAGAAATTCATAGTCTCAGAATTTGAATAAAACCCAGAACTTCGATTCAAATCTTGGGATTTACATTAAAAAGTTAAGAATAATCGAGACTCTGGACGAAAACTTAGGTTTTCTTAAGCATCGCCTAAGGTGTACAGCGCGCACGTGGCGGCAAAGTCTGCATCGTGGTCTCCCCTCATACCCCCGCCCCCAGGGTGCGGACGGGGGGAGCCGCAGGGTGTCGAAGGGTCTTGCTTGGCCCGAGGCGGCTCCCAAGAGAGCCTCGGGTAGGCCAGGATGGGCTCCAAGATGGCGCAAGGTAACTCAAGATGGTTCGAGGTGGCTTACGAGATACCTCAAAGAAGCCAAGAAGACACGACGAACGGACAAGGTTGTTCAATAGGTGTTGCCTTCTCGCGTGTTCGCTTCTAGTGGGCATTTAAGGCCTACTGATGACTCCAACAGCGACCAAGAGAGACCCAAAGGAGTCCGTCATGGCTGACATGTGCCAGGTCGGCATGCTATAGCACACTCGTCCAACATGCCAGACTTCGGCGGTGGACAAACCTCCCTTTAGTACACCTCCCCTTAGTGAGAACAGCCTGGAACCGAAACCGACGGACCTGGACCCGCAAAAGTGACGGACGCGACGCCCTCTCGCGAGCCGAAGACGGCCAATTCCTTAATCGACTTGTCAGGGTACGAGGTCTGCCCACCCCCCCGAAGACTCATGCTCGACACCCCCCCTTTCCGCACATGTACTGCTGCATGTGATGGAGCGATTCGCCGCCTGCTGCTCGAACACACCTCTGGTCTGAGATCGGAGGACCGACGGACACGGGGAATCCTGCTAGACAAGTGAGGGCTGGCAGAGACCCACTCCACTTTCTGTGGGGGCAAGTTGAAGGCAACCCAGGGGAGCTCCAAGAGTGCCCAAGAGTCGTGATCAGTGGGTGGTAGGCCCCAAGATGGTCCAAAGACGGCCCCAAAAGGCCTCAAGATGGCCCCAAGATGGATGATGCAAGAAAACTGCATGAGGGCCCGAGGACGCTCAATGTCAATGGTTTTCCATGGATGTTCGATGTTGGCGTGACCGTCTTTTCGGGCTTCCGACCGCCCAAGATGGCCCCAAAAGCCCCCAAGATCGCCCCAAGGCAGCCCAAGAAGCTTCCACGACGGTCCTGAGGGCCCAGGGGGGCCCCAAGACGGTCCAAGAGGCCCTCCAAGAGGGCTCCAGAGGCCCCTCACGGAGCCCTAGGAGTGCAAGCCGAACTGCCATTTGGAGCCCTGTCCCCCGGAAGATGGCCCCCGGGACCGCCAGCAAGCCCCCAAGGGGCCCCCAAGAGGCCACAGAGGCCTCCCAGAGGCCCCTAAGACACCCCTGAGAGGCCGCGAAAGGCCCCAAAGGGCCCCAGAATACCGCCACGAGGCCCCCGAGAGGCCTTGCAGAAGAGACCCCAGCAAGCCTCCCAACAGGACCTCTTGTCCAAGACCCCGTCTGGCCGACGGCCCCTATACAATACATACAGTGTGGGCAGGTGGAATGAGCGAAGCGGTACAGTAAAGGAAGACAGACAGAGGGCATTGCACTGCCCAGAAACATCCGCTCTGGCGGTGGAAGGAGGTCCCTGCCAATCCTGACCCCAGGCGCCACTGGTTGCTGCTCAACGGGCGATGTCTGGAGAAGGATGGCTGCGATTGATGTTAAGTCGGAATCCCATGTCTCCTTTCTGCCTCCTCCTCCTCCGCAGCCTTCTTCTCCTCCTCATGCTGATCCAGGTCATTATGCAGGCACCCTGGCGAAAGGCAAAACAGCATAGGGCCACGAGACGCAAGACGCTCTCAATCAACGTGAAAGCGAAGGCGGCGCCTATGAAGTACTCGCCTTCTGCTTTGGCACCGACCATCACCTCCCGTTGACCATCTGTAGCCTGCTCCCCATCCGGGAGAGCTGCATAAAATATCACATGTTCCCACAAGACCGCGACGCGGCGATGTGAGAATGGCATAACCTAGTCCAACGCTTGATGCAACTACTCAGGGCTCTCTTTATGAGGCTGCGTGTCCCTCGTTCAAGCCTCCCGTCTGGGGCGCTACCGATGCGCAGGGCGTCCCAGCAGCAGACCAATACGACACATACCGCGTGGGACTTGAGTCGCTCGGCCTCCGACAGGGAAACCACATGGACTGTGCCCGACGATAGATGGCCAGAGAATTCCGACGAGGTGGAGCAGGGAGGGATGCCACGTGACAGGGGTACCGTCAGCAGATCAGCCCGCATGGCCCCAAGTAGACTGAAAGAGAAAGAGGGATTCGCAGTTGTCGCGAGAGCCTCACCACCTCGCGGCTCCTACTAGGCAGCCAATGTCATGAATGCAAGCGAGCAGAGGACTATCGCGCAGAGCCCTCTCCGAATCAACCACAGAAGCCGTCTACGGCGATCCCGACGCATATGTATTACAACAAGGTGTAACTCTACCGCAAAAGAGGTGGTTGATGGTCAAGCCAAATCCGACCGAGGCGGCAGCAGAGCTGCCCGTGGCGAGCGGGCGACAGAGAGGTAGGAGAAGACAGCGAGGGGCCGGGTCGGGAGGAGAAGGCCGAGGGGGAGGCAGAGGATACCCGTGAGGACAAGGAAGGTCTCTGAAGTAGGATCGAGAGGCCGACGGTGAGGACGAGTAACAGAACGACTCCGCTCCGTCCCTCCGTCTGCTGCTGTGGACTTCTCATTGCAGACAAGGGGAGGAGTTCACCCAACCCCACCTTCTGGCAACGTGGCCTCACCACGCAGGCTTCCAGAGGAGCCCTCCTGCTCATCCGCATCCTTGTGCATCTTCTGGGTCCACTCCTCCGCCCTCCTCATCCTCCGTCCCTCCTCGTCCTCCCCCGTTCTCCCTCGGCCTCCTCATCCTTGCTCCTCCTCCTCCTCCTCCTCCTCCTCTCCCTCCTCCCCTACTCCTCGTCCTCGTCCTCCTCCTCTTTATCCACTAATTCACGTCGAACTATTCATTCTCCTCCTCCTCCCCCTGATTCCTGATTCCTGACAGCTGGAAAAATCGCCGATCGTCGCTTCTCCTCCTCCTCCTCCTCCTCCTCCTCCTCCTCCTCCTCCTCCTCCATTCCTTTTCCGTATAAATGACTTCTCCCTGTCGCAACCCGAAGCCAGCTTCTAGGGCGGGCCGGGCGTTTCACCTGAGACCACCTCACCATGTATGACTCTGAAGCTTAAAAAGTAGCAACAGCTTCACAGATTGAGGGCGGGTGATTTTCAAAATGTAGCTATCGCCTTAGCGCCGCGCACATTCGGTTTAAACATGTGCAAAAGTTTCACGGATTAAGGGCGGTTCCTTTTCAAAATGTGGCTCTCGCCTTAGCGCGCTGCACATTCGTTTTGACATTCGCAAGAGCTTCACGGATTGACAGCGGGTGGTTTTCATAATGTGGCTCTCGCCTTAGCGCCGCGCACATTCGTTTTGAATTTCGCAAGAGCTTCACGGATTGAGAACGGGTGGTTTTCAACATGTGGCTCTCACCTCAGCGCCACGCACATTCGTTTTAGATATTTGCAGGAGTTTCACGGATTGAAGGAAGTTCCTTTTCAAAATGTGGCCCTCGCCTCAGCACCGCGCACAGTCGTTGTAAAAACTTGCAATACTTTCAAGGATTCCAATGATCGACGTAGCAGAAATGGCGTTTGGAAAGATTAATGATTACGCGGGCGCAACAGTAATGTTGATTCGCGGAGTCGAAGTCCCAAACATGGCCTTCTGCCATGAGTCCGGATCGTCAAGATGCAGCAGTCAGATTGATCCGTGGCGTGGAAATAAAAAAAACACTGTTTTGGCATGTTTCAGGGTCTTGAAACGGTTGTCTTCCAACGAGGCAGTTCCTTCAATTGAAATAACCCGTTGTAAGGGCCTACGGGGAAGGAGCTTGGAGAGAGGGTGAATTCCACAAACCGTTGATGATTCCTGGGTTTACACTGGTCCGCCTCCTCCTCCTCCTCCTCCTCCTCCTCCTCCTCCTCCTCTTCCTCCTCCTCCTCCTTCTCCTCCTCCTTCTCCTCCTCCTCCTCCTCGTCCTCCTACTCCTCTTCCTCTTTCTCCTCCTCCTCCTCCTCCTCCTCCTCTCTCCTCCTCCTCCTCCTCCTCCTCCTCCTCCTCCTCCTCTCCTCCTCCTCCTCCTGTTCCTCCTCCTCCTCCTCCGCCTCCTCCTCCTCACCATCATCCTCATCATCATCATGACCACCACCACCACCACCACCACCACAACGACCACCACCACCACCACCATCATCATCATCATCATCATCATCAGCATCATCATCATCAGCAGCATCATCATCGACAACAACATCATCATCATCCTCATCATCAGCAGCATCACAATCATCATCATCATCATCATCCTCAGCAACAACAACAACAATTACTAGCACGTGGGGACACTCCGTTCTCACCAGTGCCAGGGTTTTCATAGGAGGCGGGCAATACCCCCACTTTGTGGGGGGGCCGGTTCAAGCTCTACCAAATTTCCAAACGACTCTTCGCCACCACCCACACCCAGCTTCCCGCCCTATGACGTTCGGACACTTCACTTCGTGGCATGCGGACGACCGTGGCTACTATTCAGGGCCCCGCGGCCGACGACGACGGCGTGCGCGCGCGAAGAAAAAACGAATGTGTCCCGCATGGTATTATTTGACAGGGATGATGGCCCTGGCAGGTGCGCAACCGTTGTCGCAGAAGTTCGAAAAAGTTGCTCGCAAAAGCCCGTTTGACAGAAATGTTTAAAAAGTGTTGGGTTTCCTACGAATCCGCAAGAGCGCGCGGGATGAGATTTTGACATTTTTTTGTTGAAAAACCATTGGTTTTTTGATGTTTTTATGTTAAAATCGCTCCGAACACTAAGCTTTTGGAAGGATTTCGTCTTGCGCGCGCGAATGTCCACTTTACCTTATTTTTTGCAAGGGATTCTTGAAATTTGATTATATTAGAACAAGAAATGTCATTTTATAGTGTTTTTTTTGCAAGGGAAAACGGATTACAACAAAACAACCGGATCTTGATGACATCGTATTACCTGAGGCTTCCTCACGAAAATGATGAAAATGTAGCTGCGGCCTAGGCGGCGCAGGGGGGCCGTGCACCAGGGGTCCCAACAATAATTATTCTTTAGAATTAATAATGTTCAACAACAACAACACCAACAACAACAACAACATCATCATCACCCTCATCATCATCATCAACATCATCATCGTCATCATCATCATCGTCATCATCCCAGTCGCCATCCCCCCCGCCTTCTGGTGCTTTGGCCTTCCCACGAAGGAGGGAAAGCAGCACTTCACGGACTCCTGCGAAACAGGACGGCCGTCTCGGCCGCTGTCGGCCCCGGGCGCGGCGAAACCGGCCGGCGCACGGAGATGGGCCAGACAAGCGGCAGAAACAAGGCGGGGGAACGGGAGAGGGGAGACGCCAGTAGAAGATGACGCTAAGTCGCCCGAGCCCGAACTGCATCTGACAAACATTGAGGGCCCCCCCCCGACTAAGAGCAGTCAGGACCCAGGACCCTCAGCCGCTATCTAGGCGGCTCCCCACGCCACAAACGTTTGCCGGGTTCGGACGGGGGGGGGGCTCGGAAGGAACGGAAAGAAAAGGGGGATGGAGGAGGAAGAGGGCGGATGGGCGCCGGGGTCACTTCGCAACCAGAGCGGCCGCTCTTGCAACCAAACGGGGCACTTTACAGTCAGCACGGGCTTTCCCGGAGAGAGAGACGGAGGCACGCGGGCAAGGGGGGGCGAGGCGAGGCGAGGCGCCGGCCGATCGTCCCCGAGGACGACCCTACCAGGGCCCACCGGGGGCCCCGGGACGCCGAGAGTTCAGCACGCGATGAACTTGTGATGCTTGTTTCGCCCACACGCGCACCAGAGATCACACACAGGACGCGCCAGCTCGAGGACGGAATCCGAAGCTGCCCAAGCGGGGAAGGGGACGCAGGAGAGAAAAAGAGAGAGAGAGTGTGAGAGAGGGAGAGAGAGAGAGAGAGAGAGAGAGAGAGAAAGAGAGAGACAGAGACAGAGACAGAGACAGAGACAGAGACAGAGACAGAGACAGAGACAGAGACAGAGACAGAGACAGAGACAGAGACAGAGACAGAGACACAGACACAGACAGAGACAGAGACAGAGACAGAGACAGAGACAGAGACAGAGAGAGAGAGAGACAGAGAGAGAGAGAGAGACAGAGACAGAGACAGAGACAGAGACAGAGACAGAGACAGACACAGAGACAGAGACAGAGACAGAGACGGAGAATGGCCCGCAGCCTGGGCTCGCCACGACGCTCCGGGGGCCGTGCGTCCGCACGGCGCCGGCGGCTGGCACGGAGTGGGCACGGCGTTGCCAGAGAGAAGGCACTTTGGCGTCGCAGCGCGGCGGGGGGCATGCCGCACGCGCGCTCCAGCGGCCTGGGCAACGGCAAGCGCAAAGCGACTGGCGGCATATGGAGGGGAAGGCAGGCGGGACCGGCCGCGAGGGAGCAGGGAGGGAGGGGCGGGCACTCACGCGGCGAGGTGCGTCACCGTGGAGCGGCTGGGGCGGCCAGCCGGTGCTGCTCCCCCTGGCGGCGGGCGCGGCGCCAGAGAGAACACTTGACAGGCCCCGAGGGCGGGAGGAGCTGCCAGATATCCCGCCAGGAGAAGCCAGGGGACAGGCACTGCCCCCACAGAGCACTCCAAAAGCATCACGCTGCTGTCTGGGCAGGGGAGGGAGTGAAAGACAGACAGGCAGGGAGAGAGGAAGACCGGGAGAGAGTGAGAGAGAAAGAGAGCGAGAATGAGAGACGACAGACAGACGAGAAAGTATGCTTGGAACTGATGGGGATGTAACGCTGGGTTGGCCATGTAAGCAAACAAATGAAACTCGTTTGAGCATATAGATATAAACATATATATATATATATGTACACACACATACATATGTTCGTAGATGCGCGTCCACACACACACACACACAGAGAGAGAGAGAGAAACACAAAAAAAACATAAGCATACGGCTCGTTCATATGTCATTGCCCCTACTCAGATAAAGCACGCACGTGTACATGTATGCAAGCGCTGATACAAACAGACGCGCAAACCCGAGCACATCCTGGCACATAAACAATCAGAAACGGCCTGAGCTAGTAATCTGGAAGGGCTCAATATCAGGGCTACTGCGAGAAGCTTGAAGGCAGCAGCAGTTCCTCGCCCGCGAAGCCAGCCTTGATAATTCCAGAGCCATTGTCAATCACCACCTTTGTTTATCGCTGCCAATATGACTGAGAGTTCCCTACAATTCATAGCAGATGCTGCGCTTTCTCGTCCGGAAGCTACCTCTCCTTCGTCATCATCTTCTGTCTCCTCTTCGCTGTCAAACTTCTCCCCACCATGCTTGAAATCCTGCTGACAGTCCAGCCTTTCGCCATCGTTTCCCTTGTTCACGAGGCCTGAAGACCAGCAGACCGTCCCCGAACCATCCACAGAGCCTGCAAATGGGCCAAGAAGAATGCGGCTGACGTCCGAAAGACCTCCCCATCTCGGCTCGCTGAGCCACACCAGAGCCAACAGAGAGATCGCTGTGGCTCGTGGGCACGCGCATCCTGGCCCGGCGCAAAACCTGCCCAGCTCGGCGCCGGACCAGCTTTATCTGACGCCCGCCGCGATCACGCCAGAGGCGCCAGACATCCCGAACGCCAGAGGCGAAGATCTGGGGGGCGACCGAAGAGGGGACGCAACGGCGTGGCATGCCCGATGCACCTCCGACAGCTCCCTGGCGAGAGACACGGCTGGGTCCTGGGCCGCGCACGGCATCGGCTGGGCCCTGGGCCGCGCAGGGCATCGGCGTCCCAGTGATGAGCGACGGGTCTGCAGTCCAGGGGCCAGCGCCTGCGCCCCCTGCTCGCCCCCTCCTGGGGGCGGCCCCCTTGGCGCCGCAGGGCCACAGCAATGCGCGCGGGCGGCCCACGGCGCGGCAGCGAGCGAGGGCGCGGTCGGCGTGGCGTCTCCTCGCTGCCGCCGCGCCCGGGCCACGGAGCTGTGCCGGGACCTGCTGCGGGGTGGCGCCCGGCGAGGCGGAGGTGCGGGGAGGGGCGGGCGCAGCCAGTGCCGTGGCGCAGCAACCGCCGCGGTGGCCCAGACAGACGAAGACTCGACGGCAGGAGGAAGGCGGGCGGCGGCCCGAGAGCTAACACCGGCATCTCCTGCTTCCGAAGAACAGCATGCGTCGCGTCACCAAACGAGGCATGGCCCTTCGGCAACCACTGGTGGTGCCCCGTCGGGCTCAAGCAACACCTCAGCTCGCTGACGGCGCTCCCTCCCGCACACGATGGCACGCTGCACGCTGGCAAGGTGGGAGCACCGGTTGATTGGCGATCACCTCCCCGTAGTCTCGGTCGTGCTGCATGCCGACCTGACGAAACCCCTGTAATTCCCTCGCACTGCCATCGCAAAAAATGCATGCTGAGAGCATCGATCCGCAACGTGCTGAGAAACTACTTGCTGAGAAAGCGAGTTAAGACCGCCTGAATTCGGAGGGGAAGATCGACCGCGTATCTCAAAACGTGGCTTGGTGGCACGGGATTTTATCACAGAGGAACATCCGACTGACTGCCCGATCACCATGGAAGAACTGCGGAGGAATCGCACGACACCTCTGCTCAAATGTCATGAGCTGTTTCCAGGCGAACAAGCCGAGCAGAGGTCGCGTTCATGAACCGACTACCTTCATACACCAATCTCACATTCGAGGTGTTTCTGCCCGTGCCAAACTCGGGAGTTCGGCAACGGAGAGTGCGACCCGCTGTCGCGCAGGTGGCTCGAAGTCCAGCTCCCGAAGCGACCCCTCCACCGCCCACCCAAAACCACGCGCTACCCAGCCCCGACCACATATACACACACCATCACCCTCGCTCACGCAAAACAGCGCAGAACACACCTTGCGATCAAAACAGTTGACAGTGAGTGGGCACCCAATCCTCATGTTGCCTCGGCTGTTGCCAGGGCGTTAGCACGGGGGCACTTCTTATATGCAGGGCGGTGGCCCACCATCCCCGTCAGAGGCCATGCGGCGTGATTGCGGGCGCACATGCACCGTACAGCATGCTGGCCATACGGCCATTACTGCGCATTGGCGTCTGACAGAGATGGTGGGCTTGTGGACATGTGGCCTGACGTGTGCTGTCACGTGCATTGGCGCACCTGGCGCACTCTGAGCGCATCGCGCCCGTGGCGCACCTGACGCGGCTGGAGGACACGCCGCAGCTGGCGCACGTGGAGCACGTTGCGCACGTGGCGCGCCAGGCACGCTTGGGTCCCTTGGGCTCCTGGCGCGCGTGGCACATCTGGCACGCGCAGGGCACCTGGCGAGCGTCCCGTACCTGGCGTCCGTATTGCTTCCCGGTGGCTGCCCATCCGTTTGCGACCTCTGCCTACGCTTAATATCAAGTGATAGCTGTGTGCTTGGAGGGCGCATGTGAGTGAGCAGGACAGCTTGCGGTAGACCCTAGTGTCGAAGCTGGCCAGAACTATAATTGCTTACTTTGGTCAGCAGCGACGGCGGACGCCATCGCGATCGGCTTGCCAGCGGGACGCGACGGAGACATGAGAGCGGCCGCAGAGGGGGAACGCGAGAGGAGGCCTGAGGCGACCCATTCGGTCGTTCCTGCCATTTGACAGTTTCGCTTCCGATCCCAAACTGGCCCAAAGCAAATACCAAAAGCGCCATAGGAGAGTTCCAAAGTCTCCTAACAGCATCCCAATAGAGCCCCAGGGAGGTTACATCAATACCCCGAGGCCGATTTGTCGGCCGACGGCCACCAGCATGGCCACACGAGCGCCCGAAAAAAAAAACAGAGGATCCCGAGAGTGCTCCAAGAGAACTGATACATCCCAGGAGAGCGTAAGATGGTTCCAACAAGATCCAACAGAGACCCGTAGACCAGTCTGTTAAGTCTGCACGACCATGCTGAAGAAGTGCCCAACTGTTTCAGGCTTGTCTCCAAGAACCCTTTTGTGAACGAGTCACAGGCCAGTGCCCCTTGGTCTGCGAACGAACACGTGGTCAGTTTGAACAGTTCAGCGTTGTCCACGAAGAACCGGTCCCTGGAGAAAGATTTGTTTAAAATGATAATCGCCAAAGACAGCCAACCGATAACCCCCGTCGCGAACCAGTTGATCAGTGCCAGAAACGAACCCCTAAAAGCGGGGACTGACCCAGCGACACTAGAGAACACAGGGCAGTCGAGGTTCCAGTCACACACTCACTGAAACAATGCAAACCTCAAGGAGAGCTACTCAACAGTACAGGCATCACTTGTGTGCGCAACCCTAGCGATGAAGACGAGCAGGAGGTCCGGCAGACTGCCCGCAGGTACTGCCCGCATGTACGTCCTCTTCACCCATTCAGCGATTTCATCTAAGATAAACTCGCTAAATAGATGAGGAGGAAGGGAAAACACTGAACTGGAAACGGTATGGAATATATCCGCGTGCGGCGCATGCATTGTATCACCGACCCCTCATTCGATGACGACTCTGGAGCCCATGCGCACGCAGTACTGGCTTCGCCACAGCCCCACACGTCGGTCTTTCAATTTCGATAACCCTCCCCCCCCGATCACTGACCTGCCCCACGGCGCCGCAAGCAGACACCACAGGTGTGATCGGCACTATCTATCCCCTGTCATACTCTTGAGCAAAAATGGAAATGACGAACATGCTCGAGTGTCTGAACGAGCGAGCAAGTGCCCAATGCAGTTGTTGAATAGACCATACTGCGTTGTGGCGTCTGTGCTGAAGGCAGTATTACCATGACTGCCTTCTGCAGCCTCTGTCTCAACACAACAACTCGAAGTAACTTGAAGAGTCAGGCGGCAAACCGCAATCCAGATTTTCGCCAGCACGCGTCGTGGAAGTCATACTTGGAATTCCAAGTTGGAAATTCGCCGACCCCGGCCAGCCCAGGGTGAAAAGGCGTGTGAGCAAATCCGGTCAAAGCGAAATGCGTGTGATGTCCCAACGAGCTCGCGAACGCCGCATCAGCCAGCGTTGACTCCAAATAGATGGGAGGACAGGAGGAGGACGAGAGGAGGATGGGAGGAGGACGAAAGGAGGACGGGAGCAGGACGGGAGGAGGACAGGAGGAGCAGAATCAAGCAAGCACAAGCAAGGAAGCGGAAGCAAGCAAGCGCAAGCGAGCAATAACAAGCAAGCAAGAGCCAGCGATCAAGTGCAAGCAAGCAAGGGCAAGCAAGAGCAAGCAAGCGAGAGCAAGCACGCAAGAGCAAGCAAGCAAGTGCTATTGGAAAAAAGGGGGGAGCCATTGGAAAAGGGGGGGCATTGGAAAAAGGGGAGGTCCTAAAGACCAATTACTTTTGATGAGCTAGGACTCCTCTAGGGCAAGCCTATTTGGAGAATTTTCGTGTTCTGGAGCGACCTCAACCTCCAAAAGTGTTCACCAGACTCCGAAGGCCCCCAGATCGCTCAACATGGACAAAACTGGGATGGGCAGAATTGGCGCTGGGAATGGCCCATGGACCTTGAGATAGCGCCATGATGACCCCAACGGGGAACAAGAGGCTCAAGGACGGGTCCACGAGGATCTTCGAAAACCAAGAATAAAATCACCAAATCGTTCGGGTTGCGCGCATGATTTGAAGACCCTACGTTTCGGCTCAATATGGCCCAGTAGTCTGCTACAGGGTCGTCCCAACAGGTACACCAGAAACCCCCAGACGGCCCTAAATCCTCCCAAAATATAACCCCACCATGGTCCCAAGATTGTCCCAGAGGCTCCAGACTGGCCTCCTAACTAAACGGTGCGAAGACCCTCCATCATAGCCCCAAGACCCCCCAAACAACGCCAAGAACTCCTGGAGGCCCGAAAAGCGGCCAAGGAGAATCCAAGAGCTCTGCATGAGGGCCCACAACAACCCCAACAGGCCCCCATCGCTGGCCCATGATGCTGAAGATGGCCTCAATGCTGAATCCACTTCGCTCAAATCAGCTCCACGTTGGCCCCACGGTCTCCCTACGAAGACCCCCTATGGTAAAACGTTCCGTTTTTGGGGAGGGGCGACTGAATGGCGTAAGCCATTTGAACAAACCCCATCCAGATGCCATGAAGCGTCGAATTAAAAGAATCCATGACACGCGCAGCAAGGAGACCGCCGTTCAGACTCCACTTGCTCT